TTAGTGTGCCATCGCTTGTGGTGATAAATATTCAAATAATTATTTATTTGTATTAATTTTAAAGGTTATAAAATTAGATCTTTTTGTTTTAATAAACCTCCTAGCTTTGCTTACTTTTCTTATCACGACGGAATTGCAACGCTCAAGAGAGCCCGATACCTACAGGAAGAAGAAGAAAATAGTTCCTTAAGTTTTTGTTTTGTTTGGGAACGGTATCGCGTCAACGAGAATTAATTAAAGGTTGTCCTTACCTGCTGGCAAAAAGGAAAAAAAATGGCAAAAGTTCATGTGGATGGGGAAATCTTGAAGTTGGTAGCCATCACGTGTCTTAGTGTGCATTGAATCGAAATTCGAGTTCCAGCGACCTCTCTACATAACACCAGAAGAATTTTAAAAAAGCAAATATATTGATGATGCAATCACCATTTAGTCTTTTAACACAGGGTCTAAAATTTCCCTGATCACGGGCTAATCTCTTATGAGCGCTTCTTTTATTTCTTGTAGATAGAGTATGCACATCTTCACATTCAAACAGATGAGTGTTAATTGACAAACTAAAGGATTTTATTGTTCTTGTAATGGATTTTAAATTAAATTTAAATAGCAGTAACTATGCATCACAATGTGACACCATTCGGGATCTATGCTTCCTCTTTTGTGTAATATGTAATCTTATAAGTGGGGTAAGTCTAACGAACTTTTTGTATGTACTAAATAGATCTTGCAACTGACCCAGCATGCACCAGGTTATTCAATAATGAAGTGTACAAAGTGAAATCATACAATCAAATAATTTAATAATATCTTTACTTCAACGTTATTAGAACTTATTACATTGTATTCATAGAGAGGTGGTGCTTAGAGACACACAATTTTCCAATGAAAGAAAATGCACAAATGACAAATGCATTACCTAATCGCATCGTCACTTCAATATTTACCGTGAAATTGTTTAAATCCATGGTCTGTTTGCGTCACGTTCTTGAACAAACTTGTCAAAAATGAACAATTGATGACCAATATCAGAGGCATGAGAATCACTTGGTCAACACTCTCATAAGAAAGATGCGGCCATTAAAACAATTTACTGGCTATCTATTGTATTACTTTTTACGCCCCGTATTTGGTTTCAGATTAGAAATGTCTATTCTCCTGTTAAAATGGTTATTGAATTAATCAGTTCTATGGGGAAGTGTTTTATCAATAATTTTATTGGCAGATATTTTATTCGCAGATATAGGATTGTTTCATTCATTTGAAAATATCGATAGATGAAGAGGTTTTTATTTTTGTGTGATATAAATTTCATGTTTCTTTTTTATCAAAACAACTTCCGACATGTAACAACATTAAATTGGAAAAACCCAAATTCTTTGAGTGGTTTTCACAAGCCAACGATATAGTTACCGTTGGTTATACATGGCTTGGACTAACAAAAAGCCTAGGCTTGAGCTTTATCATTTCGCTTTCGTTTCTCTCGCTATGCCCTTTCTCTTTTCAATGGATGCCATGACTAACAAAAGCAATTTGTTTCAAAGTGGCAACTATAACAAAATTGTAAGTGACTTGTGTAATGAATCCGCTGTCGAGCAGACTCTCCAAGATTTAGTGACTGATGACCAGTTTGCTGCCATTGAAGGCCTCTACTCTGCAGTGGGCACCATCGTTTCCATATTTGGCCTGGTGACAAACGCAATAACGATAAAAACCTTTGTAGCCATGGGAGCAGACGACGGAGTTACGGTGTCCTTCTTATGCCTGTCATCTGCAGAATTCGTCTGCTTCTTGGCCTTGTTGGGCCAGGAGCTATCGATGACCCTCTGGGTCACAGAGATGATTAGCGGCTTTCGAATTGTGTTTTTTGTTCAACCGATGGCTTTCAACAACTTCTTTGGCAATATTCGCAATTGTCTCTTCACTATTCCAGTCCTGATGATCGTCTACCTTTCAGTGGCTAAATGCATGTGCGTTTTCAAACCCTTACATTTTAAAAACATGTTTCCCGTCAGACGGACCGTGTGGATTATGGCAGGTTTTTGTGTTTTTGCCATCGTTAGTTACATGCCTATCTTTGCCAGCATTGGCTTCCCGGAGCTATACGATGGGAACATAAACAAAACTAGACACATGCTGTAGATATCCCCAGAGCTGGACGTCATTAAAAATATTGTATGGACCACGAGAGATTCGGTACCCTGCTTTGAGTATGAGGTTATCATCATCATATGTATCTACGTCATGTCTGACAGTCTGATGCGTGCTACCAAGTTCCGGGCTTCGTCAACATCAGGAGGTATGTCGGCAAGCATACGAGGTGGTCACCTGAAGTCAGGAAAAAACGTCAAAGGGAATACCAGCCAGCTAGGAGGCAGCGAATTGCAGGTGATTAAGCAGGTGGTTCTCATCTCAGTCGTATACATTGTCGGCATCACACCGAAGATCGTCGTCTTCCTGGCCATGTCTGTTGTGCCAGATTTAAATATTGGTCAGCGGCACCAAAATCTGGCCGTTATTCTCGCCAACACCAGGGAACTGATTGAGATGATCATGTCGGCCGTCAACATATTTATTTACTACGAAAACAACTCTAAGTTTAGGAGCTTGTGTAAATATTGACTTTTAAATCGGTTTCTCCTTCAACCTACTTTACTACACTAAGGAAGCAGATCTTATTGAAACATCATTTTTATTTAGATCATATCTATCGACATATATTTTTTGTCTACTGCTATTGTGTCTGTCGTAGGTTTTTCTACAGGTTCGTTTTCATATTTTGACACACAGCAAATATTTAACTGTCTATTTCAGTTTAAAATCCAAGATGATTTAAGAAGAATCTTCTAATATCATTCCATCAAATTCTTCAAAAAAGATACTCGCTTTTATTTTATGGGAACTCATATTAATAAACTGAGGTTTGTGTTCACGGATTTTATTTTTCCCTTCCTCTCACACTCCGTTAAAAAATTTACTTGAACAACTGTCGTTGGTACGTACAAACTAGGATTCAATTGAAATGGCTTCTAAAAAGGAAACGTGAAGGAGTCTTAACTAACGAGTTGTTTATTCTTACAAAGGCTAACTGACTTCCTCCCTCTAAAGAATGTACAATTTTCTTGAGTCTTAACCTCACCCATATCATCACGTAATACCACTTTGTAAGTTTTGAACAATTAGAGCGAAAACGGTCAGAGTTGTGATATTGCAAACCAGTGTCTTAAAAATCTACGGAACTCGTTGCACAGATACGATACGATTAGAGACAAAATGGCTTCGTCGGACTACTTACTTTAAGAGCTGTAGGGGAACTCTGCTACCTGACTAAGATCAGTCGACAGCAGATGTAATCATAATCGTCAGCGTTCTTTCTGTTAAGCCAAATGTTAATCCTTTATGTTAACTTTATGTTTACCCTCTATGTTAACACGCTATGGTAACCCTTTGTCTTAACCATCCACGTTAACCCCTTGTCTTGACCATCTAAGTGAATCCTTTGTCTGACCCCTCTATGTTAACCTTTTGTCGTGACCATCTATGTTAAACCCTTGTCTTAACTATCTAAGTGAATCCTTTGTCTGACTGCTCTATGTTAACCCTTTGTCTTGGCCATCTATGTTAAACCATTGTTTTAACCATCTGAGTCAATCCTTTGTCTGGCCCCTCTATGGCAACCATTTATAACTGCTAACTGCATTTCCTGTTAAACGTACCACGTTTCATGTGTCTTGTGTGCGAAATTAAAAAAAAAAATATTGAAATACAACTCAGCTGATTATTGCCTACAAGCTTCTCAAGTCTAATGGAGTTGTTTCCCTGCTTCTCTAATTGTTGGGGGGGGGGAATTCGAGGGCAGAATTGATTTTAGGTTGATGCAATAAGAAATATACAACGCAAAAGAGGTAAACATGAACAAGGACAACACACACACACACACACATAAACACACACACACACAATGAAGACTTTTGAGTCAAAAAACCATCGACAGCAGCAGCAAAGACAGAAAGAAACACTCACTCCTGTCAACTATATAATTTTACAACAAGCTTAGCGTGTTTGCCCCTTTGTGTAGTTCTCTAAACGTAATCGTGTATGGATTTATCAGAGTAGATGAAAAGTGAGCTTTTAAATTATCTTTTTTTTTTACATTGTTAAATATTCAAATTGTTTAATTTCAATGTAGGTGTAGAATCAAATGTTAATTATAGGGAATTATTTACGTAAACGTTCTCCTTAATCGTCTAAGTTATTTATATGATCGTTTTGAAAGTAGACTGCATTATTTTATCTGTTGGTAGGGTTAATATCCAATCCAACTTCATTGTTGTCATTTAGTTGTTACACGCCTCTTCAGCTTGAAATAATAATAAGTGTGAAAGTAGTATTAACAAATTTAAAAATCTATACAAAGGCGTTCCATTGATTCGAATACGTGAAGGAAGGGATAATTTTAAAATCTCGTAATGTTTCAAAAGTACGATATTTAATGACGATATCCGCGACACGCCCAAGATAATAATAGAGGCCATAGCCTTCATCATATTCCGTGATTCAGCGTATCATCACCAATTCCTAACCTTTGCCATGGCGACCTCTCGAGAAAAATGAAAGTTAAATGTGCCTGCAACTCATTGATTTGGATGTGAGTTGAACGTGAGAGTCCAATGGGCGACGATTACATAATAATTTTTTTTTATTGATATCAACGTTATGACTAAAAAAACACGGATGATTGATGAAACAATTTCTAACAACTATTTCATCCAATCATCATCAACAGCTATTATCCAGCTGACGATGATAAGTATAACATAAGAGCCAGCCTCTCTAAAACTGTGAACAGTACGTTTAAAAAAACATACTTCATTTCATCGTTATTTACAATTTCCTTCTGGTCTTCTTACTTGAAGTCTTTTAGAATGGACCAACATAACACAACATACAGTCAACCCAACAACAGTATTCTACACACAGACATCCCACCAACAATTACATTCACCGACACGTTGATCACAGAGGGCCAGTATTTCGTTCTAATGACTGTGTTCAATGCCTTGAATGCAATACTCTCCATGTCTGGAATGGTCGCCAACGCAATTAACATAATAACTTTTCGGAAACTTGATGCACACGATAATTTTCTTATGTGCTTCTTGGTTCTATCGTCTGTCGATTTCCTCTGCAGTTTGTCGGCGTTTATACAGCAAGTGGCCATGACATTTTTGATTCTAGAACTAGCGAGCAACAACAAAATAGTTTTTCCTATTGAACCCATGGCCATGTATGTCGTGTTTGGTAACATTCGCTCTTGTCTGTTCAATGCCCCAGTCCTCATTACGTTATATCTATCCATATCGAAATGTTTGTGCGTTGTCAAACCGTTTAACTTTAAGAACATGTTTTCTTTCAAGAGGTCAGCTGGAGTATTGATGGGAATTTGCACATTTGCACTGGTCAGTTACATTCCAGTGTATGCCAGCACTTGGGTCATCTCCCAATATGATCAAACTGTTGATGCCACGCGCCCCATGTTGTGGCTGACTCCTTACCTGTATTGATGGGAATTTGCACATTTGCACTGGTCAGTTACATTCCAGTGTATGCCAGCACTTGGGTCATCTCCCAATATGATCAAACTGTTGATGCCACGCGCCCCATGTTGTGGCTGACTCCTTACCGGGACGTCATTCGGAACGTCGTGTGGATCATCAGGGATACATTTCCTTCAATGGCTTCGGAAGTGATTATCATCATCTGCGTCACGTTTATGTCTAAAGCTTTGAGGGAAGCAGCGAAATTTCGAGCATCCCTTAAACAGGTGATATCGGAATCAAGTAAAGGAAAAGCGAAGAAACGTGTAAACAATAAATCTGAGAACACGATGAGCTTCTCGGAGCTGCAGGTGATCAAACAGGTCATCGCCGTTGCTTTGATTTTCATTGCCGGCAACACACCCAAGGTTTTTTTGTTTACAGCATTGGCAGTTGTACCTGATCTGAATTTTGGAAATCGTTATCAAAATCTTTACAAGGTTCTGATGGCCTCGAGAGAAGTCATCGAGAATCTCATCTCGGCCGCAAATTTTATCGTGTATTATAAATACAACTCGAAATACAGGAAGTGCTGCCCTTTGAGAAATTATGTGTGTGTAAATTATTTTAAGCCAAAACGTCTAAAAATATATTCTGGCGAGTAATTGAAACATAATTTACAAAAATTTTTGAATGAGATAAATTGTCTGTGTATTGTTAATGAAGTCTTGACATAGGCGATTTGTTTTCTTCTTTGTTTTAAGTTAAGTTATATTTCCATTTATCTATTTTAGTTATTCCCCAAGCAATAAATATTTTATCGGAAATTTTTTAAAAACTTTGTGACAAAATATAAATTTTGAATTTCAATACGAATTTTTCCTTGGCAGACCTAGGCTAAGGTGGATGGATGATGTCGAAAAAGATCTACAGCAGCTGAAAGTGCAAGCATGAAAAAGAAAGGCATTAGTTAGGTCTGAGTGGAAGGAAGTGGTGAGGCAGGTCAAAGCCCTACATCGGCTGTAGCGCCACAGGAATGTCTGGATGATGGAAAATAATTGAAAGAAATTTGGTGAAACGGAAGTTTTTTCGAACGGAAATTTTGTTCAAATTATGCTCGTGCCGTACAAATGGTCTTCGGTTGGGCAGACTTTGAGATGCTAAAGATTATGTAGAGTTGATCCCGAGATATACTATTTGGTGAAACGGAAGTTTTTTCGAACGGAAATTTTGTTCAAATTATGCTCGTGCCGTACAAATGGTCTTCGGTTGGGCAGACTTTGAGATGCTAAAGATTATGTAGAGTTGATCCCGAGATATACTTGCATTGGACACACAGATCATCATTATTCTTTGTTGTTGTTGATTTTTTTTTTGATGGTCCATTTTAAAAAAAAACTCAATGGGGGCGTCAAAATGCCGAGGCGAGTCTACGAGGTCAGTGGGCGTGTCAAGATTTAGACAAGACTACGAGGTCAGTGGGCATATCAAGATTTAGACAAGACTACGAGGTCAGTGGGCGTGTCAAGATATAGACAAGACTACGAGGTCAGTGGGCGTGTCAAGATTTAGACAAGACTACGAGGTCAGTGGGCGTTTCAAGATTTAGTCAAGACGTACATTGTATTTTTTATTAATTTTTCTTGGTCCTATGTTTGTATAAAGACTAGACAATTAAGTTATACGAAAATAATGACATCCTGATTATCTTTGCAAAAATCTAAGAATATAAGCGATCAGATTCAAAGGACGCAGCCGGCTGTCAAAATCGTCATCTAAAATTCAATCCCCTGAACTTTCCCAAGCTGTTGAGAGCTTGACTCTTTATTTTTATTTTTGAAATTAGTTAATTAGATGATTAATCCTTTTTTCAAAAGTCAATGTCACATATTCCTTGACCTTCCCCAAACCCGTCCTTTTAAAACAAAAAGAAAAAAAAAAAAAAAAAAAAAAAAGCTACAATAATTGACCCATCCAATGAAAACCTTGTTTATTTATTTATAGAGATATTATTTTAAAAACATATATGTCTGTTGTAAATTCGAGATGTTAATCTCATTTAATTCGTCGCGCTAGGCTCGTATTGCATTTAAAAATATTTTATACATAAATATTTTTAATGGCCAATTTTGATCTACCCATTTTAAGACACTCCACTATTGTCATCAAGTATACTATATTTAACGCTCCCAAATAAAATCTTAAAATCAAAAAACTCTTTAAAACTGGTCAGTACACATTATTACAACAAAAATGAGCACAGCCTCTAAAGGCGGATTTCTTGGAGCGTCATATGATAACCTAACAGTGTCAGTGTCGCTTATTGCAGCACCAAGTATCGATACTCTAGTCACAGACGACCAGTGCGCAGCCATACTGCGCTTGTACTTATTGGGCTTTTTAATGGCGTCATTGTTCGGACTCGTCACCAACGCCATCAACTTCAAAATATTTTCTGTCATGGCGACAGAGGACGGCATCACGGTGTCATTCTTGTTTTTGTCGTCTGCTTCTTTGCCGTGCGTGGGCAAGAATTGTCCGTTGTCTGTGGGGTCACAGTAGCAGAATTTCACTTTATAATTATCCCACCGCTTTTGTAATTTACTTTGGAAGTATTCGCACTTGCCTGTTTACAATTCCTGTTTTGATTACATTGTACCTATTCATAGCTAAGTGTGTGTGTGTTGTCAGACTGTTGCATTTCAAAAACATGTTTTCGGTGAGGACAACCGTGATCATTATGCCCAGCATATGCGTTTGTGCAGTTCTTAGTTATCTTCCTGTATTATCCATAACTGGAATCATGTGGGTCCACGATGAGAAGACTAACGCGTCACGCATCGCCATGGCAACGTCACCCTATCGGGATATCATTAAAAACGTCGTTTGGACCGCCAGAGATTCAATCCCAAGCATTGCGTCTCAGGTCATCGTCATCGTCTGTATATATTTAATGATCGGATCTCTAAAGAAAGCGGTCCGGTTTAGAGGGTTGTCGTCATCAGGAACAATTTTAGAACCGTCGAAAAATAGCCACGGAAGAACTAACAAAAATAACGAACAGTGCAGGACCGGACGGCGCGGAGGTGCAGGTGATCAAACAGGTGGTCGTCATCTCGGTGGTCTACATTGTTGGTAACACGCCGAAGATTGCGATCATCCTGGCGTCGTCCGTTGTACCGGATCTCAATCTGGGTCACCGCTTCCAGGACCTGTACATCGTCCTGACCAACACGAGGGAACTCATCGAGATGATATTCTCAGCTGTCAATATCATTATTTATTATAGTTATAATTCTAAATTTAAGAACCGCTGCAAATCTCTTATTTTAACACGTATTAAAGTGTGTAGCGTTTAATTACCCTCACCCTTCCCAACACTTTTACCTATGCTTGACAGGTGATTCGATTAAGTCTGTACATTGCTTTGGCTTAATTTCACAGCTATGCGTGTTTTATTCTGTTCCGTTTTAAATATAGTACAAATGAATGCCTTGAACTTCAATTGTTCTAATTTTAAAATGTTGTCTTGGTTAAACTATGCTTTTCATTTATGTGCTGAAAATAACTATGAAGAATTTAGTATAAAAAACAACAACATTTATTTCCATCAATAAAAGAATCTTGATCTTATCTATTAAAGCTAAATCATAATCAACAATGATTTCTGATTAATTTGTCTCACTCTGAGTAAATTGATTTTATTATTTTGATTTTTCTTGGTCAAAAATGTTTTATTTCCAAATGAAAATATAAAACCAGACATGCTAGGCAAACTATTTTGTTCCTTAAGAAAAATTTGAAGAACTTGTTTCTTTTTCTTAAAATGAAATTTGTTTTTGGTTTCATTGGTAATATAAATGTAGAAATTTAACTTAAACTTTTGAAGGGAATAGCAAAATTTAAATTATTCGTTGTTTCTTCCTTAAAATTAAAATGAATGTTAGTTTAATGAAATCCATGTTTTTTTTATGAGTAGAAAACTACTGAATTTACGTTTTTAAATGGACAGAATCAATAAGGATAAATGTACAGTGGAACCCACTTATCTCGACCTCGGTTAACTCGTCAACGCTGTTTTGTCAACGTTTTGGAAGTGGAACCGACAAATACTCTCTTTTTGTTAGCATTTTTTCCTCGGTTAAGTCGATTCTTTTTATGTCGCCGAACCCTGATATCTCGAAAGGGGGCAAATTTGCAACATAACCTTAGTTATCTCGATCGTCACGAACAATCGCCGGCTTTTGAAAAACAGAAACGTGCCTAAGTCAAACTCTAGTAATTGAAATGAATAAAAAAAAATATCATTGTCTGCGCAATTAACCTGACACAGCAAAAAGCGAGGAGTGAGAGGCATACAAAAAAAAGAGAGAAGTCTTAATACCTGTTATATTTATAGCGAACTCGCTTGTCGCTGAAAGGCTAAAAAATATCATTGTCTGCGCAATTAACCTGACACAGCAAAAAGCGAGGAGTGAGAGGCATACAAAAAAAAGAGAGAAGTCTTAATACCTGTTATATTTATAGCGAACTCGCTTGTCGCTGAAAGGCTGTCACGCATTCTTACCCGTTGATATTTTTATTTCAAACCCAGAATCCGTATTTGAATAACTGAACTGGCTGATTCGGAGCGAGAGAAAATAAAAACTCGCGAATCCGGAGCTGAAAAATATTTAGCCTCACGAATCCGGAATTTCGGGATAATCCGGAAAAGAGGCACCGCACATATGGCATCCCACATAAGGCACCCCACATGTGGCACCCAACAAATGCCTTGTGTTGTTAGCAAACATGTATGTACATTTTTATGCCGGACATGCCGATCGCTTCATCAAACAAATTGCTGTAACGCTGTTGTGAAAAAAAGAAAAAGCCAAAAAACAGGTGCATATGAATTATCATTTACAAACGCACATCGTGAACATAAATACATTTCAAGCACATGTTAATATATTGCCACCATATTGGTTTTCGGTTATGACAATCATCGTTGATCTCGACGCTTTTTGGGAAAACTACGAGGCCGGCGACATAGCCGGGTTTGACTGTACCATGAAAACTTAGTATCTGAATTTGTACTTATCCCTCTAGATATAATACTTATTTTAGAAAGCAATTCTCATGGAATCTTTTTTATTCTATGCAGCTGTGCAACCTCATTGGTATATTAGTTGAGTTTTAAGATCCCCATGATACTGATTCGCGAACTACAATGAAAACTTAAAACAAAGATAAACAAAAAAACTTCTTAGCCGATTTAAGAAAGAGATCGTCTGTTAAAGTTTAGGAAACTAGTTAGTTAACTTGTTGCAAAAGCCCTAAACATGACGTAATTGTGTACTCTGAAATCAAATAGTTACATTTTGACTTGAGGTGTGCCATGGCTTTCTGGGCAGGGTCTAGGTATGCCAATGCTTTCTAGGCAGTGTCTAGGTGTGCTATGGCTTTCTGGACAGGGTCTAGGTGTGCCATGCCTTTCTGGGCTGTGTCTAATTGTGCCGTGGCTTTCTGTACTGGGTCTAGGTGTGCCATTGCTTTCTAAGCAGGGTCTAGGTATGCCAATGCTTTCTAGGCAGTGTCTAGGTGTGACATGACTTCGGGGCAGGGTCTAGGTGTGCATTGCTTTCTGTACAGGGTCTAAATATGACATTGCTTTCTAAGCAGGTTCTAGGTGTGACATGACTTCGGGGCAGGGTCTAGGTGTGCATTGCTTTCTGTACAGGGTCTAAATATGACATTGCTTTCTAAGCAGGTTCTAGGTGTGACATGACTTCGGGGCAGGGTCTAGGTGTGCATTGCTTTCTGTATCACGACGGGAATTGCAACGTTCATGAGAGCCCGATACCTACAGGAAGAAGAAGAAAATAGTTCCTTAAGTTTTTGTTTTGTTTGGGAACGGTATCGCGTCAACGAGAATTAATTAAAGGTTGTCCTTACCTGCTGGCAAAAAGGAAAAAAAATGGCAAAAGTTCATGTGGATGGGGAAATCTTGAAGTTGGTAGCCATCACGTGTCTTAGTGTGCATTGAATCGAAATTCGAGTTCCAGCGACCTCTCTACATAACACCAGAAGAATTTTAAAAAAGCAACTATATTGATGATGCAATCACCAATTAGTCTTTTAACACAGGGTCTAAAATTTCCCTGATCACCGGCTAATCTCTTATGAGCGCTTCTTTTATTTCTTGTAGATAGAGTATGCACATCTTCACATTCTAACAGATGAGTGTTAATTGACAAACTAAAGGATTTGATTGTCCTTGTAATGGATTTTAAATTAAATTTAAATAGCAGTAACTATGCGTCACAATATGACACCATTCGGGATCAATACTTCCTCTTTTGTGTAATATGTAATCTTATTAGTGGGGTAAGACTATCGAACTTTTTGTATGTACTAAATAGATCTTGTAACTGACCCAGCATGCACCAGGTTATTCAATAATGAAGTGTACAAAGTGAAATCATACAATCAAATAATTTAATAATATCTTAACTTCAACGTTATTAGAACTCATTACATTGTATTCATAGAGAGGTGGTGCTTAGAGAAACACAATTTTCCAATGAAAGAAAATGCACCGATGACAAATGCATTACCTAATCACATCGTCACTTCAATATTTACCGTGAAATTGTTTAAATCCATGGTCTGTTTGCGTCACGTTCTTGAACAAACTTGTCGAAAATGAAAAATTGATTACCAATATCAGAGGCATGAGAATCACTTGGTCAACACTCTCATAAGAAAGATGCGGCCATTAAAACAATTTACTGGCGATCTATTGTATTACTTTTTACGCCCCGTATTTGGTTTCAGATTAGAAATGTCTATTCTCCTGTTAAAATGGTTATTGAATCAATCAGTTCTATGGGGAAGTGTTTTTTCAATAATTTTATTCGCATATATTTTATTCGCAGATATAGGATTGTTTCATTCATTTGAAAATATCGATAGATGAAGAGGCTTTTATTTTTTGTGTGATATAAATTTTGTGTTTCCTTTTTTTACTAAAACCACTTCCGACATGTAACAACATTAAATTGGCAAAAACCCAAATTCTTTGAGTGGTTATCACAAGCCAACGATATAGTTACCGTTGTTTATACATGGCGTGGACTAACAAAAAGCCTAGGCTTGAGCTTTATCATTTCGCTTTCGTTTCTCTCGCTCTACCCTCTCTCTTTTCAATGGATACCATGACTAACAAAAGCAATTTGTTTCAAAGTGGCAACTATAACAAAATTGCAAGTGACTTGTGTAATGAATCCGTTGTTGAGCAGACTCTCCAAGATTTAGTGACTGATAACCAGTTTGCTGCCATTGAAGGCCTCTACTCTGCAGTCGGCACCATCGTTTCTCTATTTGGCCTGGTGACAAACGCAATAACGATAAAAACCTTTGTGGCCATGGGAGCAGACGATGGAGTTACGGTGTCCTTCTTGTGCCTGTCGTCTGCAGAATTCGTCTGCTTCTTGGCCTTTTTGGGCCAGGAGCTATCGATGACCCTCTGGGTGATAGAGATGATCAGCGGCTATCGAATTGTGTTTTTTATTCAACCGATGGCTTTCAACAACTTCTTTGGCAATATTCGCAATTGTCTCTTCACTATTCCAGTCCTGATGACCGTCTACCTTTCAGTGGCTAAATGCATGTGCGTTGTCAAACCCTTACATTTTAAAAACATGTTTCCCGTCAGACGGACCTTGTGGATTAAGGCAGGTTTTTGTATTTTTGCCATCGTTAGCTACGTGCCTATCTTTGCTAGTATTGGCGTCCCGGAGCTATACGATGGGAACATAAACAAAACTAGACCCATGCTTTGGATATCCCCAGAGCTGGACGTCATTAAAAATGTTGTATGGACCACGAGAGATTCAGTACCCTGTTTTGCGTCTGAGGTTATCATCATCATATGTATCTACGTCATGTCTGACAGTCTGATGCGAGCTACCAAGTTCCGGTCTTCGTCAACATCAGGAGGTATGTCGACAGGCATACGAGGTGGTCACCTGAAGTCAGGAAAAAACATCGAAAGGAATACCTGCCAGCTAGGAGGCACTGAACTGCAGGTGATTAAGCAGGTGGTTCTCATCTCAGTCGTATACATTGTCGGCAACACACCGAAAATTGTCGTATTCCTGGCCATGTCAGTTGTGCCAGATTTAAATATTGGTCAGCGGCACCAAAATCTGGCCGTTATTCTCGCCAACACCAGGGAACTGATTGAGATGATCATGTCGGCCGTCAACATATTTATCTACTACGAATACAACTCTAAGTTTAGGAGCTTGTGTAAATATTGACT